TTGTTATCCCTCAAATGAACAAACAGAGCATTGGATTCCTGACCTGTCCTAACACTATATTTATGTTGTTTACGTCTGGCCTAAGTAAAACATATTACATTCCTTGCAAGGAACTTTATAAATGCAACCAATTGTGTTGTTGGGGGAGTTCTTGATTATATACATATATATATATATATATATATATATATATATATATATATATATATATATATATATATATATATATATATATATATATATATATATATATATATATATATATATATATATATATATATATATATATATATATATATATATATATATATATATATATATATATATATATATAGATATATATATATATATATATATATATATATATATATATATATATATATATATATAAGAACATAAGAATGGAGGAAACTGCAGCGGGCCTATTCATACTGGGCAGTCCCGTTTACACCCAACCCCTATTGCTCATATGAGCATCCAACCTATGTTTGAAGCAATTCAGCGGATTCGAGTTAATGATGATATTTGGTAACTTGTTCCATTCATCCACTACTCTGTTTCCAAACCAGTGTTTACCTATTTCAAGCCTAAATCTAAATTTGTCTAATTTAAAACCATTGTTACGAGTTCGCTGCTGGTTGGATAATTTGAGTACCTTTGTAATGTCCCCTTTGTTTAGCCCTGCCTTCCACTTATACACCTCTATCAGGTCGCCTCTCGCTCTACGTCTCTCAAGGGAGTGCAAATTAAGATGCTTTAACCTGTCTCTATACTCAAGGTTCCTAATGCCCGGGATTAGTCTTGTCATTCTCCTCTGAATTCTTTCCAAGGATTCTATATCCATTCTGTAATACGGTGACCAGAACTGAACTGCCTAATCCTGGTGTGGTCTCACAAGACCAAGATACAGTTTTAGGATGACCTCGCTAGTCTTGTACTAACACTCCTTTGTATGAACCCAAGTACTTTATTAGCCTTGTTACGAGCAAAAACACATTGTTTACTTAGCTTAAGGTTCCTACTTATCATTACTCCTAAATCTCTCTCGCAGTCGGATTTCTCTATGGCATCGTTGTTCATTTGGTATCTGGTTTCCCTGTTTACATCTCCTATACTGAGTACTTTACATTTGTCGACGTTGAATTTCATCTGCCATTTTTCAGACCATTCGAAAAATTTATTAAGATCTTCCTGTAGTTTCTCGAGTCCTCGTCAGATTTGATAACACGTCCTATTTTAGTGTCATCAGCAAATTTACTTATGTTGCTGTCTATGCCGATATCTATGTCGTTTATGTATATAATAAACAATAATGGTCCAAGTACTGAGCCTTGGGGAACTCCACTTGTGACGTTGCTCCAATGGGACTTAGTGCCGTTAATGCTCACTCGCTGTTTCCTGTCCTGTAACCACGCCCTAATCCATTTAAGGATGTCACCTTTGATGCCATGAGCTTCTACCTTTCTAATTAGTCTTTCGTGGGCGACTCTGTCGAAGGCTTTACTAAAGTCGAGATATACCACATCATAATTGTGCCCCTCGTCCACCGATTCGAAAACTGATGAAAAGAATGTTAATAGATTAGTTAGGCAAGAACGTCCGCTTGTGAAGCCATGCTGGGAATCATTGATCAATCGGTGCTTCTCAAGGTGATTTCGAATAGAGTTTGAATTGATTGCTTCCCGTATTTTGCCTACTATTGATGTTAGACTGATTGGGCGGTAGTTAGAGGATAGTGATCTATCCCCCTTCTTGAAAATCGGTATTACATTCGCTATCCTCCAGGATTCTGGTACTACACCTGTTTTTAAGGACATGTTAAACAACTTTGCTAAGGGCATACTAAGCTCTTCCTTACATTCCTTTAATACTCTGGCAAATATCTCATCGGGACCAGGTGACTTATTAGGCTTTAATTTGTCTATTTGCTTACTAACATCGTTACTAGTCACTACTATCTCACTTAATTTGTTTTCTTCACTATCTCTGAATAGAGTCGGTGCCTCGGGTATCATGTTTAAATTTTCGGTGGTGAAAACTGTTGAAAAATATTTATTCAAATTATTGCTCATTTCTCCGTCGTTATCAGTGAGCTCGCCGGAGTCTGACCGTATTGGTCCAATCTTTTCTCGTGTTTTAGTTTGATACATTTGGTAGAATCCTTTGGGGTTTGTCTTCGCCTCCCTTGCTATCCTTACCTCATTATTCCTCTTTGCTTTCCTTATCTCGGTTTTAACCCTACTCGCCAATACCCTATAATAGTCCCAGAGGTGAATTTCGCCACGATTTATCCTTCTACCTATAGCCTTCCTTTGGCCAATAATGTTCTTTAAATAATTATTTATCCATTTAGGGTCATATATATTTATACAGTATATATATATATATATATATATATATATATATATATATATATATATATATATATATATATATATATATATATATATATATATATATATATATATATATATATATATATATATATATATATATATATATATATATATATATATATATATATATATATATATATATATATATATATATATATATATATATATTTGCTATTTGGCGGTTTTGGGGATAGATTGGTAGCTGATTCGGCGGAAATATATTTCCAAACCTGGCAACAAGGCCACACCTGTGACCTGACTACGTTGTTCCTCGAACACTTTTACAGCTTAGGACCCAAATTCGCCGCAAACAAAGAGAAGCTCGGGAAGCAGCCATCCCCCTGGACTCTCCGCCCACCTGGTACGATGTTGTAGTGGATTTCTCCCCTACAAACGCTGTTTGTCGCTGAGTAGCCGACCCCACCAATTCCCCAGTGTATGCCTCGTGGTCTAGGTCAACCAGCGCCGCCATACATCACGGAGCGGGGGTCAACTACTAAGCCACGCCTACTCCCGCTATTTAAGACCTGACCTCGTGGTGACCTGCCTCTTTCTACCAACAGCCGCAGCCAGCAACACCTCCTCCTCCGCCGCTGCCTGGCGGTCCTCTCTCCTGCCAGCGAGCATGGCGACCCACAAGCTGTCCTTCTCTGAGCGTCCTCACCAACCAGCTCTCTCTACATCACGCTTGTAACCATGCTGCCTTCCCAGCACCAAGCTGCATTGTACATCCAATACAACATGTATATAGAGAGCACATTGTGAGTTTTCTTTCTCCATTCCATCCTGAGTGTGAACCAAACATCTTGAACCCCACAAATGGTGACTCCCGGAGATTCGCACTCACACAGGATGGAGGAGAAACTGATCACGCTCCCAGTCTTCAAGCAACATGGAAGACTGGCTTATCCACACAGAAGCAGCTCTCACCGGCTCTACAACTACTGTCTCTACACCGCAGGTTAGACACCCTAGAGCAGCTCTGCTACTCTAAGCAGACAGTCGCTCCTCTTCCGACCAGAGCACACCCGTCCTGCCTCAGACGCCGACCCCGGCCCAGCAGTAACCCCTGCCGCCCCTGATGCGGCCTCTGTTCCTGAGTGCGGACCCACACACCCCTCTTTTCTCCCTCAGGTACTCCCTGCTAATGTCCTGCACCCTGCTGCTGTCGTGGACCGAGCTGCTGTCACGAGCCCTCATCCGCTTCTGCTGACGCAGCCCCTGCTCCTAACCCAGGCCCACACACCCCAGCAGGCGCATCTGACTACTCTGTACCTGCCGTGAGGGAAGCACAACATTCATCGCCTCCACACACCCTTTTTCTCCCTCTCTTCTCCTACAGATAGTGTGTATATAGACAGTTGTATCCAGCGGCAGGCTCATCCACGCCATCGCCGTTGTCTCACATGAGGCATGCACCGCCCGTTCTGCCTCACATGTGCTAAGCAACTCTGCAGACAACAAGTCTCCTACACCGCCTGGAGGGAAGGGGGAGTATTGTAGTGGATTTCTCCCCTACAAATGCTGTTTGTCGCTGAGTAGCCGACCCCACCAATTCCCCAGTGTATGCCTCGTGGTCTAGGTCAACCAGCGCCGCCATACATCACGGAGCAGGGGTCAACTACTAAGCCACGCCTACTCCCGCTATTTATGATCTGACCTCGTGGTGACCTGCCTCTTTCTACCTACAGCCGCAGCCAGCAACACCTCCTCCTCCGCCGCTGCCTGGCGGTCCTCGCTCCTCCTCCGCCTGCCTGGCGGTCCTCTCTCCCGCCAGCGAGCATGGCGACCCACAGGCTGGTCCTTCTCTGAGCATCCTCACCAACCAGCTCTCTCTACATCACGCTTGTAACCATGCTGCCTTCCCAGCACCAAGCTGCATTGTACATCCAATACAACATGTATATAGAGAGCACATTGTGAGTTTCCTTTCTCCATCCCATCCTGAGTGTGAACCAAACAACCTTGAACCCCACAATGTCCTCCGTAAACTTCCTGACTTCTAGTATGCCTATGGGAAAGGGTCGCGGAAAGGGGACGTGATTGCTGCCCGCATCATTGGGTATGACTTGCTTGGGAGATTGGTATCCCCGCATCCCCTGAGCAACTCTCTTGTGCACTATGCAGAAGACCCGAGAGCCGCACCCTTATAAACTACCTCCTAAGATGTCCCCACACACAACGCTTCCGTGACGCCTGCTGGACCACCACTCCACGACCCCCTGACGGAGACACGACGATCCTCCTCATACTGGCCAGATATTATGCAAATAACATTGATTATGTGTTAAAGGAATATCCTTCCTTCCTTAGGCTTTAGTAAGCCCCTTTATAATATTTATACTGTATATACGTGTCACACTTGCCAGATGCTTCTGGTGTTATTGTACAGGGGTACCTAGTGCCAGAACTAGGATCCCGCTTCCTCTATCAAGGAATAAACAATTGAAATTGAACCTGGCAACTTTATCAACACTGTCTCGGGGTTTCGGGTACGAGAGTCCGAGACTTAACGGAGTCGGGACGGAGTCGGGCCTAACACAGACTCAGGTCCAGGTGAATTCTGTTTATTTGTCTATAATTTTCTTTAGTATATCAGAGTTTAGAGTTTGGTAGTGGAGATTAGGTCTGTTAACTAGTGGTTGCCCTTAATTTTGTTCACAGGCCATGACATACCCACTGACAGACTCTGTCCTCAATTAAAGATGCGAAGAGTCAGAGTCTACCTACTGCCGAAACTTATTTAAGGCTGGGGAATGGTTGCTGCTTTATTACATGGTCCAGTGAAGGCTAATGGTAGTATTGGGAGAAACTGGAGTGCCTGGAGGAAACGTGGAGGTAATACTATGCAACATGGTGTCTAATTGGTTAATGTGGAGGTTAATGCTGCCAACGATTCTAGCAAGAACACACTGCTTTTCCACCATATTTTTTTTTTGTTAATTGCCCGTGACAGTGTTCTCTTTTGGGAAAGTGTTTCTTTTTTATAATTTATACTATAATACCGTTGGCGAGCTCTGGGAGGTGGAGTGCGTAGTTCGCGGGTCGTCTGAATTGCATTACCATGCTATATAATACATGACCAACTCTGAAAAAGTAGCATTTCCCCAATAGGGGAATATGTTACGTTAAGTTCAATAAGGATAAGTTAAATTACATTATATACTTATATTATATACTTGCATTATATAACCACTCAGAGGGGGACGAAGCCCTCCCCTGCTAGGTAGTTAGGTCAGGTTACGTTAGATTAGGTTAAATAAGGAAAACATAAGTTTTTTGTTTTTCCCCAGAAAAACTATCTCCAATAAAAAAAGCAGCAAAATTCATGCAGGAGAAAAAAAAATTTTCTGGTGAAATCGCTCGCAGCACGTTTACTCATTACCGAAATCTTTTATAAAGTAGCTGGTTAATTAGGGGTGCTGGACAACTCATACCCAAGCAAAATGTACCCATCAGAACATGTCAATTCGTACCCAATTACGAGATAACTCGTAAAAAAAAAAAAAAATGGTCACAACTGCGGCGGTCGTAAGTCGAAGCAGTCGTAAGTTGGGGTCTAGCTGTATATATAATTTTTATATTTTTTTTTATTAACATTTTCATTTGTACCCGAAACTGCTAATTTGCACAAAAATAGAGGTCACATTTGAGTAAAACACCATAAAACACTAAAAAACCAAACCAAACCTAACCATACCATTTTTTGTAGCTTAGCTGTTACTATGGTGGAGGATGCAGCTGGGCGATCTGATACGCTTATGGTTACAAACAAAAGAATTTCTGTCTTTGGTTAATATTCATCCATTGGCTGTCCGCAGGTTCCCGTCATGTTTACCTGAAGTTATACTCTTCACTTAGTCAGTTGTCTCTTCATTTCCTCCTTGTAAGTTAGGTTAGGTTAGGTAGGTTGGTTCTTTTGGTATGAGAATAGGTTTTCTTTGGTGTTTTTTTGGGTGTGTTTTACTCAAACCTGACCTATTTTTGTGCAAATTTGAGTAAAAATGGGTAGAACTATCTACGGTCATGCACCTACCTGTATTTAGAAGTCATTCAAAACACGGTTAATATTCATCCATTGGCTGTCTGCAGGTTTCCAATTTTCGATATTATAGACACAAAGACGGTAAAAAACCAAACTTACAACTTCTTATCACTTCTTGTGCAAATTAATATTAACGGAGTATCTCACAAATTTCTAGAAATAAATTTCTGTACCCGCCATGTGGCCAAAGTCACTTGTCTCCTCTCCTCCTCCTTCTCCTCTTCATGATTTGACAACCTTCAAGTATTGTATTTTGAAGGCTCGTGATGATGTGTGATAAGTGTTCTCTCCCTTTTCTAATTGTTATTCAGTGAGTTTATGAGAACGACAGTGAAACAATCCACACATTACAAGATCACAGTGTCCTACCAATATCAAGACTGTCCTATGTATGGAAATTGTTTTCTCAAATATTAGTTACAGTATTAAATCATTTCCATTATGCTTTCCATTTTCTTCACTTCACTTTTCACATCACTAGCATCCCATTTACACTCACCTTAGAAGTCATAATCTGCAGCAGAGTCGGCTGCTTTCTCGTCACTCATTCAGTATGATTGAGTGGGCGAGTGTGAATGCTTGAGTGAGTAGCCACGGTGGCGCCTCTGGTGAGCAAATAACGCTTTTTTTGCCAAGACGGTACATTTGAAATATTTCACTCCCGATTTTCCTCGCAAAATAAAAAAAATATTGCTATAGTACAGGTATATAGGAAAAAATTTATAATTTTGGTAGCTGCGATATAAAAAAATCGTTATATAAAGTCACGATATATATAATATATATATATATATATATATATATATATATATATATATATATATATATATATATATATATATATATATATATATATATATATATATATATATATTATATATATATATATATATATACATATATATATATATATACACACACACAGTCAACCCTCACATTACGCGGTCCCGCATTCCGCGGTTCACCGTTAACGCGGTGCCCTGCCGGAACCTAACATGCTCACATTCCGCGGTGCGTGTACCCCATTACGCGGAGAGCAGCTGGCAAGCCGCGCCATTTTTGGATCCAAACCTCCCGCCATCCGCCATGTTGTGTAAGAGGCGCGAAAATGGTGCGCACAAGGTCGCTCAGTCATCAAAACATTACCAGTTCTTCACCCGCCACCCACTACAGCCGGCCCAAGTCAGTGATAGTGATAATTATAGTGAGGATATGGACTTATGTGAACTTTGGGGGGTTTGACAAAGAGGCCCTGCAAGCCTCTGTGGTGGATAGTGATACAATTGATACAAGTGATACAGGTGAGGGCCAATAATCTGCCCTCTGCCTCGGAACCAACCGCCCATCCCCGTGTGCCCAGCCATCTTTTCTACTAATGTAAGTGTTAAAAAACCTAATATTATTGATATTTCTCTTAATTATTAATTGTGTGTGCATGCCATCATAAAGTTAAGATAATATTTTTACTACAACATAGTTGTGTGTCGTCAAAAAGTGGAGTTTGGGGATCGGCCCGGACTCCATTTCAATTAATCCCATATGTTATGTTATTCACTTTACGCGTTTCTCACTTTCCGCGGTACCCTCCGGGTTACATTAACCGCGTAAAGTGAGGGTTAACTGTATGTATATATATATATATATATATATTCTCATTACAATAAAGCACACGATTTCATAATCATCACTTGGTTCCGCCTGACCATCGGGGACCACCAGATACTTAGGTGGTCAGAGTAACGCTTACCAAATCCGCTAAGGATCGTGGGTGGCCCTATTAGAGGTTCACGGCGCCATAAGCTCGTTGAACAGGCTTGGTGAAATATAACAAAGTCTAGGACTGCTTTTAGTATCCTGGTGGTCCAGCTAAGCATGCCCCTGGTCAAGCAGGGCCTGTGGGCCGTGGGTTGAATCCTGGGCGGAGGTGTTGATTGTATATATATATATATATATATATATATATATATATATATATATATATATATATATATATATATATATATATATATATATATATATATATATATATATATATATATATATATATATATTTCATGTAAATCCACAATGAAAACGTGATAATTTTGATAAATCACATTGGAAAATGGAACATCAGCTGCTCTTTATTCAAGACAGTTGCTCTCTGAAGATGTCTTGAATAAAGACTTAAAGCTAAGGTAATCGTGTTTCCATTTTCCGCAGATTTTATATATATATATATATATATATATATATATATATATATATATATATATATATATATATATATAACATAAACATATATATATATATATATATATATATATATATATATATACACATACATACATACATACATACATAATAATATATATATATATATATATATATATATATATATATATATATATATATATATATATATATATATATATATATATATATATATATATATATATATATATATATATATATATATATATATATATATACACACACACACACACACACACACACACACACACACACACACACACACAACATTAGTCTTCCCGACTTACGACGTAGGAACCCAAATCCAGGTTATTTATAGCACGTGGTTTTCGCCAAAAGGGAGGCTACACGGTGACTGCTATGACCAAAACTCCCATCCATGACGTGGACTTCGTTCAATATTTATATCCTAAATTTAACACTGTCGGCAGTTTAAGAATTACGCAGTCATTTACTGAATATTTTTGCAAAAAATAAATTTTAAATGAATTATTTATAAGAGATAAGATACATGATCAGTAAATATACAGAGATGCATTACTGACCACCTCCAACACAAGGATGGCTGTAATAGCTACAGTATGTCACAGTCAAGGCCACTTTCCCTTTCTTGCTCACTGGCAAAATGGGGGAGGGGGATGATAATAGCAGCTGTGTTTATTACGGTATGTTAGACTGGTTTATAATACATTTTTATTATTTTAATATATCGGTAATCTTCATTTTAATCCAGCTTACCAAACGTAAGTTTCAGTATATAAAAATAATTAGTGGTACTGTAGGACCTGTGAGTGGTTTACTGTATACATAAATATTACATAAATTATTTCTAAGTAATTCTTTCAATAAAACGAAAACACAGATAAATCAATTCGAATATGTGATGTCAACGTGAACTGTAAACACTGTGTGTGATGTAGAGAGCGGTAAACGCTATGTAATTTGATTTTCTTTTATGTGTACAATTTACTTTATAATATATAGGTATACTGTATACAAATATTAAGGATATTTTGGCAGTTGTTCACAAAACAAAAACACAACTCATCTGAACATGTGATGTCGAACGTGAACTGAAGCCATTACCAACCGCTCGAAAGTGGAATCGCGCGATAGAACGAGAAGTTCGCTTTTACAAATATCGCTCAATTCATAAATCGCTTCGAGCAAATTGTCAAACACGCTGCGAGTAGCAGAACTACCTGGAAATTTACCGGA